CTATTTCTGACATTGACTCGTCTTTATATAACTCGGTCATGTCTCCTATTCTGGAAGAAGAATGGAAGAACACTATCCAGTCTATGCCTAATAACAAAGCCTCTGGTCCTTCTAAGATCTCTTATGAGATGCTCAAACATTTAACTGGAGAAACTTTCAATTTGTCTCTTGTGTTAGCTAATGCCTGCCTTATTCATGGTGATATTTCCGCTGATTGGCATGAAGCGCTTATTTATCCTATTCCGAAGTCTCATGAATTTGACGCCCAATTAAAGAATACGCGACCTATTACCTTGTTAGAAACTGTACGAAAATGTGTGGTTAAGGTCATTACAACTCGACTTTCAAAAATCCTCGCTGATAACTAAGTGCTTCAAGGTGGTAATTTTGCTGGACTACCAGGCGGTTCTACTGATATTCCTATCAAGATGCTCGATGCTATCATTCATCAACGCCGTTTTGACAAAACTGATGACCAAGAGTTATGGATAGTTTCCCAAGACATTTCTAAGGCCTTTGACTCGATTGACCTAAACATGCTTAAATTGGCTTTAATCCGTTTGCATAGCCACCTTTGTTGATCAAATTTATTATTAATCTTTTCACTAGACGCAACAATAAAATTATTACCCATTATGGTAATACTTCTGGATATAGAGTTAAAATAGGTATTGACCAGGGTGAAATTATTTCTCCGTTATTATGGGTGATTTATTTAGATCCTTTGCTTACAACACTTAATCGAGAAGCTTGTGATCCCTTTATTTTGAAATCCTCTGCATTATTGGATTACTCTCTGATTGAATATAAACAACATAATCTCCCTGTTTCTCATATCACATTTATGGATGACTCTACCTTGATTGCTTCATCTAAACGAGGAATTAAAGATCGCCTTTCCATTACTGCTGAATTTTATACTTTAAATAATACTCAAGCAAATTCAGCAAAATATATCCTTCTTTCTTCTGAACAATTTTCTCAAACTATAATATTTAATCTTTTTCCATCTCCCTTAATCCCAATTTGTACTCTTACTTTAAAGGCGTTAGCTTTATTCGTGTCTTTCCGTTTTTTAGGTGTTTGGTTTTGTCTTTCGGCCTCTTCTCATTTTGTTCATAATCAAACCACTTCCATGGTTAAAGACATGACTGCTCTACTTAGTCCTAAAAAGCTTTTGGCACAACATGTGACTTATCTTTATAATGTTGTCCTACTTCCGAGGCTAGAATTTCGCCTACAAACCACATTATTTGCTGAATCCACCATCAATCGTATGGTTTCTCCAATACTTTTCCTTATTCGACAGATGGCTGGTCTTGTTTCAGTCACTCCTCTCCCCGCGCTTTTCACATTATTGCCATTTTCAATTCAACAAGCGTTCAGTCGATTCTTATCATCTCATGTGGCTTCATGGCAAAAAATTTTCTTTTACCCTTTATATAAGCTTTTTGCCAACTATATGATTACTTATCTCCAAGGATTCTTGGACTGTGATGCCTGTCCTTCTACTATCGACTTGGAACCATGGTCTCATACTTTTTCCCTGCGAACACATTCTTTGTTCAACTCTTTATTATTTTTTTCTCGATTGAATATCATGTGGTCTTTATCATTCCGACCTATAAGAAAAGATCTACGTCCGGCGATTTCACTTTGGACTATTTTACCAAAAAACTTATTTACTTCCATGAAAAATGTTCGGAAGAATTTCTGCACTCGTTATCTTGCCCAATTGATTACACCGTGTGGCTCTCAACTTCTCTCATAGAAAGATTTACGCTTTCTTAAACGAGTTTCAAACAAAGGATCTGTACCTGCTTGGTTCAATTATTTATTTAATCTTATTGTTACTTCTAATTCTCCTTCTTTTTTTGTTTTACCGCAATTTAGAATTCCTATTTCCCATACTGTAGCTTCCATTTCTTTAATAGATATTAGTCGAAATTATTTGTTTAACCCTCAATGGGCTATTTCTTTTAATCGTAATACTAACTCTTTCCTCGTTGGCCGTGTGATTATTACCTATTCTACTCCGCGAAATGAAGCTCTTATTTCGCATTGGATTGCGTCATCTGTTGATGACTTACTTTCTGAATTTACTGCATGCCGTGGTTGTGCCTCTGCTATCCCCTGCTCCTCTACCTCTAAGATGCTAATTAAATGATGTCTCTCTGAAGATTATTTTCCTATGTTCCTTTAACATCTTTGATCCGTTACCCTACGAAACCTCGTACTTATATACATGCGAACACTCGTTCAGTTTTACTTTCCGCCTCATTAGGCTTTGCCAAATCTCTTTTATTATTTCATCTTTTTGTCCTGAATCGATTAGTCCCTGTGAATAATCAAGTGTCTATGATTTCTGATGTCCATCTCCCTTCTCCGGTGTCTACACTTTATATTAATGGTTCCTTCTTTCCTCCTCCTAGTCATCCGATACCTTCGATGGCTTTTGCATAAACTGCTATAGATTTGGATGGATTTATTCTTGAATCCTTTTATAATATCATTCCTTCTATTTTTCCCTCTGCATTACGTTCAGAAATTTTTGCTTTATTGCATGGACTGGACTCTCTCCCCCAGAATTCTAAGATTACTGTCGCCACTGATTGTGCCCAATTAATTTCCTTATGGTCCTTGTACGTGGACGCTCCTTTTATTCCTAGAATGCTTAAAGAACCCAACCACCTTTTGTGGTCCTCTGTACGAAATATTATCTCACAAAAGAATCTGGATGTTACTTTGATCAAGGTTCCTGCTCATGCTGACGACCCTTTGAATAATTATGTGGATGCATTAGCTAAAGCCGCCCATACAGACTCGCATCTCTTCTTTCAGTCGTTGTCTGAACCTCTCGCTCCTTGCATTTTACAATTTAATTCTTTATCTGTGGATATGAATATCCAGAAGTTTATTAGCAATATTTTTGACGCTAAGAGTCTTTTAACTCTTGCTGTATTACCAAGATTTAATTCTAATTCTTCTATTTCTGATATTGATTGGGCTTGTACCAAATTTTGTCTTAACAACAAAAAACAATTCTTTTCCTATCGGAATGGTCGTTCCGAATTCTGTGCTTTCCGTGTCAAGATACTATTAGATATGCTTCCGACACTTACAACTCTTCAGAGACGAAAGCCTCATCTCTATGACCTGAGTTGACTTTGCCCTCAATGCAACTCCTTTCCCGAGACTTTAAACCACTTGTGGACTTGTCCTTATATCTTACCCGAATTTAGCCCTCTCACTACCTTTAAAACACTTTTACTGGATCTTCAATCTAATTATTTAGATAAATTCATTTCCACGACATCTTTAAAACCTTTACCAGATTCTTTTGATGCTAAATTCATGGCTATTGACTGTTGGCATTGTGACCCTCCTTTGTCCTCTTGCCTGAGACTCGCACGTGGACTTATACCAATATCCCTAACTGGATTTCTTGGAAATTATTTTTCATTATCCACCATATGGTCTATTTTAGATACACCTTTGCACAACTTTCATTTTGACCTTTATGTTCAAATCTGGTTGTGCTGTTCCATTTTCTTTCATCATTGGGAATCAGCTCAAGGCATCACTAAAAAGATGAAATCGTCCACTTTTGGACCTTCTATTATTTCTCACCTTTTCCCTAATATTCCTCCTGACTCTTTGACACCTTCCTTGGCGACAGTTTCCTTGGATTTCTGGGTTTTTTGGGTTTCCTCTTCTATAATCCAAGGTGGGTCTTGGCTCTCGCACTTGGATTTTTAGCGCCACTTAACAGTTCAGTCTCTACGTAAGATTTCTTTTTGGTAACGGATTGGATCTTAGGGCATGCTGGATAGTTGACTCACACTGGCCTTCGGGTAAAGTTGGGGTATGCGTATTCTGTAATAGTTTAGTTTTTCTTTACTTAATTTTATTTTGTTTAGATTTCTTTACTTATATGAATCGTGAAGCTAGTTCTTTTTATTTTTTATGTTTAAATTTCTATATTTTGTTTGTAATATTATTTGATTTGATTATTGTGCTTTTCGTTAAAATTTATAATAAAAGATAAAGTCATAAGACTGTTTGCTCATAATCACCAAATATGGACTGTCCCAAATGTATGACTATAAAGAGAATTGACTGTACTCCATTTAATAAATAAAGTTGTATTCAGAATATTATATTATAAATAAGTATTTATATCCTGAGTATTTTACAAATTCTAAGATTTTAAATTGAAAATTTCTGTGTAAAGTATCTGGATACTTTAAAATTACGATAAATTTTTTTAAAGGAGTACTGTGTAGGGGGGTATTGTGGCCCACGATATACAGTAATTAGTTAAAATAGTTTTTAAATTGTATTATATATGTGTATTTGATTTAATGCATTATTTTAATAAATATTGAATGTGCTACAGCAAAAATAAATAAATAAATAAATAGGAAAAATAAAATAAAAATAAAATTTCTTAAAATCAATAAATTTTATTGCATTTTTAAATAAAAACTTTGATTTTAAAATGAAAATTCCAACTTTTAGGCAAGTTTATACTTTATATATAAAAAAACAGATTACACAAAATTTCAAAAGTTACTTATATGCAAACTTTATTAAAGGTTTCTACTTTAAATTAATATTTTTAGGCATCTTTTTTATTTAAAAATTCATTTTTTTATTTGTTTTTTATTTGTTCTATTTATAGTAATTTGATAAAATAGTATAATGTATAATACAAAGTTTGTATATATAACTTGTTGCAATAGTATTGCTAAATCTCACTACAGGTGATTTTCATTATAAATATTAATTATCAATTATTGGCAATATAACTTACGCATCATGTGTACGATATTAGTTTACGCACTGGCTGGAGTTAAGTTTAACGCTATCACGTGCAAGTGCATAACTCCTAAACTCTGGTAGGATGACAGAATAATATAATATATATACTGTATATTAGAATTTTTATTATTAGTAATAAAATTTTAATTTTGGTAATTATATATAATTTTAGTAAAGCAATATATAACAAATATTATAAGAGTAAAGTATTATTTTGCTAATTAAATTTATCTGAAATGTTATTTTTATAATATATATTAAATTATATTAACTTAATTAATAATTGGCATATATTTATTATAAAATTAAAACTTTTTAGAAGGGAATACTATTTTAAATGGCTAATCAAATAAAAAAAGAAAATAATGTCAAAGACACAACAATAGAAAATGCTGATGATAAAGATTTTAAAAAATTGATTACAATGAAGAAAAATAAATGTGAAGGATAGAATAATTGCAAAATAAAATTACACGTAGCACCTCATTAAATTAAATACCAATGTTAGATAGAGATAGTTTGCAACAATACTTCTCCAAAATAACCCTCAATATCTCTTGGTGACTTTTCATCTCCCATTATTTTCTTTACATCATCTGTTGTCATCCCAATTTCTCCATCACGAATTAAACGATAAAATTCAAGATAATGCTTTACTAATTGATTTTTGTTACGAAACTCGGATGGAATCGCTTGTATCAAAAAAGCTTCAGCCTCATTTTGTGAAGTACCTCGAAAATCAATTTGGTCATTCATTATTATTGATAATTTTTCAGCTAGTTGTGGTCCACTATATAACTTTGGTCCGGTAAGAGTATAGATCATTTTATTGTAAGGATTTTCGGTTACACCAGCTAATAAGATAGTTGCAACCACTTCACCAAAATCACGATCATCTAAAGGTGAAAAAGTCCCTTCAAATCCAATTGGCAAAGGCAAAACTTTTTCTTTAATAATTGAATCGGTATAGAGGTTAAGATGATGAGTAAAAAAAGGAACACGGAGGAATGTATAAGAAGGAATTTGTTTTGAAATGATATATTTCTCAATATCTTCAGCTGCTAGAGGGTTTGTATTATAAGCACTAAGTACGACAAGTTGTTTGACTCCCTTTTCCACGGCTATATCAATAAAATCATTTAAATGACTTTTATCTTCAAGCTCTGAATCCCAGACAAATGCCGCATCAACGCCTTCCAACGCTACATTAATAGTATTACGTTCGGAAGGATTTATATAAAATACTTCCGTATATCCTCTTACAAGATCCAAGGTAGTTTGACCTGGTAACAAGCCAAGCCGTAGCTTTGTAATTTTGTCATCGTGTTTATTTAGCTCTTTGACAACGGCTCTGGCCTTTCACAATTAAAAAGCGTTTGGAATTTCAAAAATTTGTTTTCGCGTTTTTTCAATATCATTTATTAATACATACCGGCAAATTAATGCTGCCCGAAACAAATATTGTGAACTTGGACATTTTATCCTTTAAAAGAACAAATTTCGATAGTTTTAAATTTCTATTTATCATTTTTATAGGTTGCACAATACGTAATCTGGAAATTTTTTTACTATTTTGCTGATCAATCCAGATAAAATGACTTTTCTTGAACATCCCGTGACTTTTTGTTATAAGTAATTGATGAATGGCGCGCGTCGAAACTATTCCCGAACTTTATAACACGACTTTATGGAAATTCAAGGCAGAAGGCAACGCAAATATAACATTATCATATGTTGGCGAAAATGCTAGATTTGTACGCTTAAAAATGATATCATTATTATTACTTAATTTTTTCCAATAATTTCATGCATTTATATGTAGTCAGCTACGGTACTTCGCTTGCGAAAGGATAATCAATTGGATACAATTATTGATCCTCAATACTTTACGTATTCTTATGCAAATTTCATTATGAAGCCATTAATTGGTGATAAATACGTCGGTGAATCGGTAAATAAAGACAATTTAAACTTTATTAAAATTTCCATTTGACCTTATTTAAATAAAAGGTGATTATAGATATTGTTGGAAGTACAGCCGGAGTTTCTTAAAGCTTTGTCTAAATCAGTTCTTAAGATACGATCCAATAAGCGAACCCAAAAAGATATCGATCACAATCAGAAATATGCTATTTTAACACCTGATCATACGGTGTTCCCGTCGAATATTAGTCCCACGCTTTCTGTAGAGTTAAAGGTAGACTTTATTCTTTCTTATGATACTGATTTATTCATTTTTTTATAATATTATTATATTATTCTCTTTTTGAGCTCAGCCTAAATGGGCATTTTTGCCATCTTCTCCTTTCATTGAAAATTTTGTAAAATTTCAATCATGTCGTTTCTGTATGCATAAGTACCTTAAACGAGGTCCAACAGATGACGTCACAAGATATTGTCCATTAGATTTATTTTCTCTGGAAGATAAAAGAATAAGAAAGGCAATAGAGGCCTTAATAGACTGTCCTGGAAGTAATTTAAAATTATTTATACAAGGGCTGCAAATTGAGATTGGAAAAGTAAGTTGAATTAAATTATATATAAGTAGTATAATGATATTAAACATAAACTATATGAATACAGGAGAATTGGCTGACTTCGCTATGTGAGTTTTTTGAGATCGGTTACCCTGAATTGGATGATAAAAAACAGCAGTAAGTTTACATAATACCTAATTGATAAAACGTAGCACTATTAATTGTTAATTCCTATTCATTTACAGTTATGTAATTGATATGCTTATTGTTCTATTGATACAAGTTATTATGAAAGAACAATATTTGTTTAGAAGGCTAAAGATATTACAAAAAACTTTAGATGAACTAGACATTGAAGGAATTAATAAACTCTTAATAACTCTCCGACCGAAATTATCAGAACCATTATTAGAAGAATGGAAATTGATAGTAGATGAATATATGAAGAGAACCACCGCAAATAATAGTAATAATGAAAATGGTTTGAATAAGATAGAAATTATTATTATTATTATTATTACTCTTATAACTATTTACACTGATTTTTAATTAGTGCTCGAGTTTATGTCTACAATGGAAAATAAACAAATTCATCAGCGGATATACGAATATTTGATGTCTGCTACATTGAAGGACTGTTCTATAATCTTTTCTTTTCGGAAATCTGATATACGCGATTTTGCTGAACAAAAATCTCATTCAAGGTATTCTTTACATTTTTCGGGTTAGGCCATGGCTAATTAATTATTGATCCATAAAGTATTTTCTTGTTCTTGTTTTTAAGTCAAATTTTCCAAAACAAAGAAAGACTTCAACAAATATCTTTGTCTGAAACACAATCGCCCATTAGTGATTCTCTGAATAAGTATCCTTACGATAATTACCTTGATAAGCCGTATGTTTACAAAGTTAATGTTATCGATTTAGATCCAAAACCTTTGGCAAAATTACCTTATTATCAAGAGTTAGACGCAAAAATTGTAGAGAATTATTTAAAATGCGGTGCAACAAATAACAAATGTTCTGAATGAGTATATAAATATATATGTCTTTACTCTGATATATAGGTGATATCGTGCAATTATTACAATAGTTGCGCACTTACGTACCGCTAACGTGACTGTATAACTATGTATTTTCACTAGAAAAATCAGAAATTTTAAAATGGTTGTGGCAAATTTAGTTTAATAAATTCGCTAATCTGGAATAGATACTCTTTTTATTCAAATTACTCGGATTATCAGAAAATATATGCTATTCATATCTCACTATATACATTTGACCTCCCTAGAGAGTTAAATTATATTTATCTACTTTTTCGTTTTCTTTGAACCTTTCCGTGTAGATTTAGAACGTTGTCTATCTTGGTCTTCTGATTCTTGTGGTTGATGTCTTGCTACGTCGTTTGCAGCAGTTAATAAAGCATCTATCACTGTACCATCCGACGGAGTGGTAGAAGGTGGAGCGGAGGTTTTTATTTGTTGTGAAGTTTGTTTATGATCATATGGTGTTGATTGTTGAGAAGAATGTTGTTGTGATGTTTGGGTTTGTTCCTGTTGTTGAGCTACTACTGTTTGCGATGTTGTATCTGAGGATGTTGATGATTGTTGTTGATCTTGTTGAAATTTTTGGTGTTGAATGCGAAGTTGTTCTTGTAGGTGAATTTCATGTCGAATATGTTCTGCTTGAAGCTAAACAACATTTGTGTCATTCGAATTCTTTTTCTTAATTATTAGATATTGATCATAAGATGGAAAAGATTAACGTTTATAATAAGGTGCCCAACAAATTTTAATTCCTTACCTGTTGATAATAGGAAGCAGTAGTGGGATCTGGTTGGTATTGCATTCCATGTTGAGGTGGATAATAAGCTAAAGTATTTTGTTCGGCAAATATATGTTCTGTTTGCTTAAAATTTATTTTTTATTGAAAATTTGTTTTTAAAAAATATAAATCAAGATACTCTTATAAGAATAAAAAGACAACCATTATACGAAAAAAAATCTTTTATAAACGCAATATACATCAAAAAGCATTAACGCCTACAGGTTCTTCCTTAGGTCTTCTATTTGAACTTTTAGGTACTTCCTCTCTTGGAACGATATCAATCAAGAAATCGAATTGATCAGATCTGCTAACTGCAGAAGCAACATCACTACGTTGTAGGGTGCGACGTTTGTTTTCTTCAGCATGGATCCATGCTCGCATTGTAATTTCAGATATAAAAATTTCACAGGCTTTGGAGAATAAGATTGGTGCCTAATTGATGACATGATATTGTGTAAAGAGTTGAGCATTTATAATTTTTTTAACAATTAATTAAAAAAAAAGACTACCTCTGCACTAATCATCTAAGTTTTTTGATTCAATTTTATATAAATTAGTATAATTTAAAACAATTATAATAGTATTCATTAAGAATAATTTTTATTATCTAAATGCTTACCTTAACATCCTGATCACTTTTCATGACTTTCTTAATTCTAGCTAGAGGTAGAGGATGATTTTTAAAGTCACTTTCAAACTGTTCTGCAAGAGTAATTTGTCGACTCCAAAACTAAGATTGTTTAAAATTATTATCAATAAATAAGATTAACCTTCATAACATTAAATAAGTAACCTTTATAAAACAATGAAAATAAATTTTCTTTCTACGAACCTGCTGCATAAACGCCTGGTTTTGTTGTTGCTGCTGCAGTTGCTGTTGCGTTTGAATGTGTGTTGAAGCTGACGGAGTAGCAGTAGAAGTGGGAGCAACATTTGAAGTTGCTGAAACACTTTGATCGACAGCGGTCTGTGGCGTTTGTTCTGTCATAGTTTTTTTTAAAAAAACCCTTGAAAAGAAGGTTATTAAAAAGGTAAAAGTAGAAAATATGAACTATTAGTTTTCGATTTGTTTACTTTTGTGATGAGGACGAATGCGGCAAGTTTGTGTAGTAAATGTGTTATTAATCAGGTGACAATTGGTGATCATTGATTTATTAATTTATTTTAAAATTTGTACGCCGCAGCAAATTAATTCAATTCGAGAAAATTTTTGTTATATATATATTAAGTTCGAATAATGAATAATTTAGAAATTTGACTGAACATTATATATTTATATAAACGAAAAAATGGCAAAAGATTTTATCTGACGTAATTCTAATCCAAGTGTTCATCTTGAACAAGGGATCAAGTTGTGGCTCGTTGATAAATACAATAAGTACATACAGGAGAAAAAATGATCGATCAACAGATTACAGATACAAGGGAGTCATAAATGAGCTTGAATGCATTTCCTTATTTAGATGGTAGGTCGTCTTTCTGGTTTTGAATAAGTTGTATACATTATATATACTATATATGCATAATAAATTTTCTTTTAATAACCTTTGTTTAACCAATATCGGTTTGTTTTAATTAAATAGTTTTCTTCGTTTTACAAGCAAAAGTTTGCAATCGTTTATTTCTTTTATCTTGCCTGGTGCAAAGTTTTCATCATCACTAATACGTCAACAACGCAAAGAGGCAAGTCTGACGACTTTAGTCCTCCAATTATTTCTCCTCCCCCACTTCAATTTCTTCTCTATCCTCTCCTTTTACTCCTTTTACTCCTTATACTCCTTTTATCGTATCCCTTTTATCGTATCCGCAGCTTCCAAGCCTCTTTTGCGTTTAAAAGACATTGGCTTAGCCTAAAAATTCTCGTTTTTTTTGCTTACGTTACTTATTTGTTTTTTTTGCACTAGCATATTTTTTATTAAACTTCGCCTCAGTTGCGAAGCCGGTTTAATTTGGGTTGGGGTTACATTTTTGCGCGGGTTTAATTTTAAAACTTGTAAAAAAAGCATTTAGTAATAATCTAATATAAGAAACAAATAAATGCGTTTTGTTAAGTTTGCAACTTATTGCAAAACTTTTCGACGTTCAAACTTTTTTGTTTCTTTTTATAACGTATATATATACGTTCCGGAACGAGGGTAATAAATAAAAAAGCAACGATTCCCTCAAAATTATTTATATATATAATATTTATTACTTCTGTATAATAATACTGAACTTTTATAATTTTAGAAAATTTTCGGTGAAAAAAGATTAATTTATTATTTTTTATTGATTAACCCTAAAGATGGATTACAATTATAATAATAATATGGACTATTATAATCCCCAAAGCGCTAGATATTATCAAAATTTTAGTAATCAGGGAGGAAATGTTGGTGACCTTTATAGCAAGAATGAGCATGACAATAATTTATATCCAAGAAGCCCTCAATATGAAAACCATGCTCAAAATGATTATCGTCCACAATATATCAACAATTCGCAAGTCAATTATAATAATAATAATTATGATGGCGGTGGAATATATCCCGATCCTAGGAATGGATATAGTAATGATACACATTATTCCAATATCAAATCTACAAGTCCTGTTGGCAGTGCATATGATGATTCAGGGTATTCAAATCCTAATAATATATCATCGCATTCTAATGCTCGTTATAAAAATCCTTATACCACTCCTTTTAACGATACAAAAACTAGTTATAACACTCCTTACATTCCTTCCCCGGTGAAACATCCAAGTTCTCCAGTTATGCCTGGGATGAACCCTACTCATCCACCCATTAATCCGATTCCTACTCATCAAGTTCCATATGGTGGTCGTCCAGCAGATCCCTATAGCGACAGTGCTTTGTCTAAAGGAATGTATTCTACCTCTTCTACATCCTCACCAAATCCCGGTCCAACCAATCATGGTCAAGAAAACCCCCTTAGCCCAACTAGTGCATACTCTAGCAAACCTTTCCTTGATTATGATGATGATGATGAAAAACGCGCAAAACCGGGTGGACTAATGAAATATTGCTGTTGTGGTGGTCGCATCACTTGTTGCAAGGCCTGTGCAATTATATGTTGTATCCTTGTTTTACTTATTATTGGAATTGCAGCTGCTGTTTTATTATGGGCACGTCCTCCAAAAGTCGATTTCTTGGGCATTGTTCCTTCGCCCAACGGTTTACCAGCATACAATGCTAATACCGCAGGATTTGATTTTAATTTTGGTTTACAAATCCAAGTCGATAATCCAAATATAGTTGGCGCAAATTTTGAAATGATCAAAGCAATTGTAAGTTTCGACTCTTTTTTTAAAAAGAATCAAAATTATTATATTCAAATCTGATTCATATTTAATGTAGGCATTTTATCCCGGACATTCAGATCCAATTGGAGGCGGAAATTTGACCGATGTGACTATCGCAGCTAAAGGAAAAACCATTATTGATTTTCCATTCTCTGTAAATTACAATAAGGATATTGATCCAGGATTTGCTATCCTTTTTGACATTGCCCAAAAATGTGGATTAACCGGAGGAGGAGAGAAACAAAAACTGGAAATCGACTATAAATTAACACTGACAATCAAAATTCTTTTAATTACCATAAACCCAAGTTTGGATAGGAAAGCCATGATTGATTGCCCAATTAAGGTAAATTTATACATATTTGTTAATATATATGAAAACTTTCTCACCAATTTTTTATAACTGTAATCTTCTAGGATGGAAAAATACCTAATATACCGGGTTTTGACATAGGTAAAGCCGCAAAACAAATTGGTGGTAAAAGAGATTTATCAACCAAAACACCAAAAAGACCCTATTAGCAAAAAAAAAGAAAAAAAAATAATGTTGTGAATATTTATTCATCTATTTATCTATTTATTTATTATTTATATTGTAAAATCATTTTTTAATAAAAAAATTTTAATAATAATATAATATGTCGGAAAAAAAAAAAATTTGGAACTTGTGTAACTTTAAACATTGATAAATAATGAGCATTAATTGATGTCTGATTTCGATCAATCTCGGAATGGTCTCTGCAAAATTTCTCGCACTGGGCTTTTCACCTAAAGGAATAAATATTCCTTCAATGATTATTCACCAGAGGATTCAGCGAATATTATTTGGTAAGGATATTTAAACCACATTTATGTTAGAACTTTACTTTTATTTACTATATAACCTGTCCTCCTTCGATTTTTCTTGTAATATATGTACCAAAAAAAAAATGTAATAAAATAAAAAAAAATAACTGCAAGTGCAAAATAGGCTTACCCATTTGAGTCCTTTCTCTACTACACGATCTTTTCGGTTTCAACCTTCTCCAAAGATACCATGCTTGAAGCTTCAAAATCCCCAGCTACATTTTGCGTCACTCCAAAAATTGCATTTTTCGAATAAAAGTCCTTTTACATTACCAAACGATTTAAGAGTATTTAGAAGTCAACAGATTCCAAAAGAATCAGTCAAAGTTACAGCAGAGAATGAAAATATCACACATAAAGTTGCTCAACTCGCCAAAGAGGAAACAAATATAAATGAAAAGTCTTCTGCTGCTGCCGTAACTAAAAAAAAACCATTGACTACACGTATCAAAGATGAAATTACACATTATTGGCACGGTACAAAATTATTAGGATTGGAAATTAAGATATCAACTAAGCTATTGTATAAATTATTAAAGGGACAAAAGCTTACACGTCGAGAACATAGACAGGTATGGCGATATTTCATAAAAATTCGAGTATGTTGAAGATATTAACCTATATATTTTTCTATGCGAATTTAGCTCAGGCGTACTACACAAGATTTGGTTAGACTCGTTCCGTTCTTAGTTTTCATAATTGTTCCTTTTATGGAATTTTTATTACCAATAGCATTAAAATTGTTTCCTAATATGCTACCAAGCACCTTTGAAGATAAATTTTCAAAGGTACCATTCTTGTTATTATTATATTTTAATTTTTTTAACACGTTTTAATCCATTAAGTTAATATAGGAAGAAAAAAAGAGAAAATTGCTAAAAGTTCGTTTGGAGATGGCCAAATTCTTACAAGAAACAATCGCTGAAACCGGTACAACTGGGTTGAAAAGTGCCGAAGCAGCAAAAGAATTTACAGAATTTTTCCGAAAGGTAAATTCATAAATATTTATTAATTTTGTTGTTCGAAATTCAATTAAAGTAACTTTTCCCTAATCAGGTTCGTTCTACTGGAGAGCAAGCTAGTACTGAGGACTTGCTTCGTATAGCTAATATTTTTGAAGATGAATTAACATTGGATAACTTATCACGCCCTCAATTGGTTAGCATGTGTCGTTATATGAATCTAAATGCTTTCGGTACAGATAATTTCTTAAGGTACCAAATTAGAAATCAAATGAGGAGTATTAGGGAGGATGATAAGGTACTTATAATTATTTTCAGGCCTAAAGAATTTAAATTTTATTAATAGTATTTGTAACTTCATAGATGATAATGGCGGAAGGAGTCGACTCATTAACCATTCCGGAACTTCAACATGCGTGTCAATCGCGTGGCATTAGGACGATCGGAGTTTCTCCAGCGCGTCTACGCAGTGAATTGAATCAGTGGCTGGACCTTCATTTAAATCATAAAGTACCTTCTACTTTATTAATCTTATCTCGCGCTTTTAGTTTTGCGGATCGAAATGAATTGGCCAATCAAGCAGAAGCTCTTCAAGCAACTTTGAACAGTTTGCCGGACAATCTTGTAAATAATTCTTTTTTTTTTTTTTTACTTCTATAAATGACATATATAGAGATTGTTCTTACTTTATATAGGTTAACGAAACTGAGTTGCAAGTTTCAGAAGCAGATGGTGCAGCCACATATAAGCAAAAACTCGAAGTTATTGAAGAGCAAGAAGAATTGATTGCTGATGAAAAGGCTCAAGAAGAGGTTGATATTATATTATTACATTATATTGGAAATTTTAATTTAAAATATAATATAATTTTCAATCATATTATAGAAAGAAGAGGCTGCAAGACGAGCTCAAAAAGAGGCGGAAGAAGCTGCTAAGGAAGCAGCTCTTGCTGAACAATTACTTAGTGATGTTCAAGTAACTAAAGAGTTATCTTTTTCAATGAGATATGTCTGCAAGATGCTAATAAGCTTTATTTAGGTTCCAGAGGAAGATGTACGCATGACAGAAGAACAACTTCAAGAACTTCGTGTGGCGCTTTCAATACTTTCTTCAAAGTCTGCAGTGCTGGAAGAAAGAGAGGCATTAAATGAAATCAAAGAGGATCGTGAGGAATATAAGGAGGTTTGTTAAGGAAATGTATTAATTTATTATTAAAATGATAATATTCATTTATTTTAATAACAGGACATGGAAGAATTGGGAAAGCATACAGAATCTAAAGTTCAGCACCGTCTTGGAGAACGTTTGGAAAAAATGATACAAAAAATTGATAAAGAATTGGAACAATATGATAGTGAAGTTGGATCGAAATTTAATCTTATTCAAGCCAATGAAAGTGGACAAATAAGCGTTCATGATTTGGAAGAAGCTTTAAGAATTATCAAGCATACGCCTGGTGATAATGAGAGAATTAAAAAGATCGTTAAAAAATTGGACGTAGATGGTGATGGATTAGTATTTTTAGATCATATTTCAGAACTATGTACAGAAGGTGAAGGTTTGGGTGTATTAGTGAAGAAGGAACCCGAAAATAGTGATGAAAAAGTGAAAAAACCAAAAAAGGAAGATATTATACAAACATAAATAAACAAAATATTATTTAAGTGCAGATGATTTTTTTAAATAAAAATTTAATATTGATTTTATGTAATATAACCTAGATTTCCAACTGTAGTAAAATAAAATATCTCAAATCATTTCTGCGCAAACTAAATCTGTAGATCATATGAAAATGATCGGCAATCAGTATTATTATCCAGTTATTATAATAGCACAACTTCTATTTATAAGAACCGTATGTAATCATGAATGCAAATGGATCACAAAATAGCGAGAGTAGCGAGAGCAGCGAGAAAGCTATCGCTAGGCTTGTTTATTTAAGCTTGTTTTCTAAGAAAAAAGAAATCCAAAGGAATGTTGTTACGACTTATTTTGATGTTAATGCTGGTATGGATATAAAATAGATCAAAGAAATAATTTATTGAAAATTGATTAAAATTTTTTTTGGAACTTTTTTAGTCTTTGAAAATCCAATTTTACTTGTCGAATCACATGACCAAATAATCAATCAATTTCATTTGCTTTCTGCGTTCTTCTATGCTATAACACCTGAAATACAATCAGTCACTAATAGTAAAATAGCAGGAAATCATCATTTAGTATGCATAGATGCTTTGATTAAATATCGTTTCCCTCTTCAATTTCCTTCATTTCCGTGTTTGCGTATAGTGTTTGGTAAAAATAGTCAATTTTGTAATAACTGTAATAATGAATTTACATTGCGTATAATTTCAAGATTTGAGTTTAACGAACAACACAAGATTGTTAGACATGAAGATATTTGGAGTTTAAAGGATTTATTGGAATCTTTACCAGTTGTTGGATGGATATATGCAGAAATCGCAAGAAAACTTACCGGAATGGTTACTGGAGGTGTAGTTATTGCTGTTAAAGAATTGACGCATGGGATGAGCGGGATATTTGATTTATAGATTATACGAATAATTTATATAAAAGGTCACTGTTTTATATTGTGTCTGCTTTACCAAGAACGTTGCCTTAATACACTAATGCATTAAAGATCTCATTAATCTTCCTTCGATACATCGGCGTGGAATCTTATTAAATAAGTGATCAGAAGCAGTTATAAAAGCATATGACTCAATTTTCAGTGCCAAACTTAACCGATTGATTTTTTTCTATTACAATCAAAAACTTTGATTTTGGAATTTAAATTTAATGATTTGTTTGGAGTCTGATCCCATAATTTCATTTTCTTTAAACATTTAAAATAGGAATCCCTTCTCTGATTGTCCGATAATATTCTTTTGATACATTGTGTAAAATATGTAGCTTAACGGTTAAAGACAGAGAAACAATTAAAATTACATTAAAAAATCTCAGAAGAAAATTCACTAGTAGACACGTATGTTTTGATTTTTCCACATCACACTTGCATATATGTACAAACATTAAATTTGCTCCATTTGAAATTATTCCATGCATTGAATAAAAATCTATTTATTACCTTTAGTTGGCACTGATTTAATATCGTTAATAACAAATCAGTTATTTCAAAGCATCAAGGCACTCAGAAAAAATTGCAGCATATTTGACGACGGACAGCAAAACGCGAGATCTGACAGAGTGGCATTAGAAATATTCAGCGCCGATCATTTATAATTCTGCCCATACATTGAGTAATATTTGGCGTAACCTGTCACATTTTTCAGCTGAAAACTAAAATGTAATTTTCTGATCGGTTGAAATAAAAAGATTATTGCGAAGAACGTTTTACAGAATGTCGGCTAACGACCAACAACAGCTTCAGAATCTTGTATTCTCGGCGGAATTGAATGTTGAAAATGAGAACCTTGAACAGCTCGGTCCTATCATAAAAACTATTTATGATACTGATAGACAAGAAGCTTTTCTTGAACAACTGGCAATGTTTGTTAGGAAGAAAGAAGGAGAAATTGAGAGAATGTGTAATAGTAATTATCAGGTATGGCTTGAATTAATTCAATATCTATAGACATCTTTGGATATATCTAATTTGAGGTTATCTCCCGTATTTTGTTAAACATTTTTACAATAAATACAATAAATAAGTAAATAAATGAACTTATCATTGGTAGGAATTTATACAATCTGTGGATCAATTATTGAAAGTTAGACAAGGAACTGTCAATTTAAAAAATAAAATAATTGATTTAAATTATGATGTACAAAAATCTGGTAAAAAAGTTGCATCAAAGGTAGTTACATTATTTTCATTTTAAAACTACATTGATTACCATTTTTAATGAACTTTTCTCCTTCTACTAGAAAAAAGAACTTATACAAACACGAAGAATCCAAAAAAATATTGATGAAGCTGTTGAAACATTGCAATTATGTTTACATGTGCTTGACATGGCAAATCGTGTAAATCATTTAGTAGAAGAGAGAAAATATTATTCGGCTTTAAGGGTAGATATTCCGTTGGTTTAATTTTATGACTTGTTAGTGAAGACATTAAAGTGTTATTATTTCAGACATTGGAAGAGTTACAGACTGTTCATTTGCGTAAAGCTATACAATATGAATTCGCCAAACATTTGCGTATGTTATATCTTCTTTTTTTAAAGTTTATTTACGATTTTGAATTTGGGATAATATGTAATTTATTTTAGAGGAATCTATTCCCGTTATGCAGCATGATGTCAAGAATGCTGTAACAAAAGAAATGAAAGAATGGTTATTTAAGTATGTGATTATAATATCTATTGCTGTAAACGTATCCAAATTAAGTTATTAATTAGATACGGACAATGAGTTAATTATTGACCAAGTTCTTTGTTATGTAAAGAGTTCGGCAAGTGTCCGGAGAAGTTGGCAAAATAGCGATGGAACAAATGAAGTTACGTCAAGAACGATGGAAACTTAAGGTTGCTAAAAATCCCGATTTACGTTCAGTTCCGGTTAGTTCGCCAATCGAGATGGTGATGAACGAAGAAAATGAATGTACGTTATATCATTCATCATTTTCATTTTCCCTTATTTCCTCATTTTACAAGTACACTACATTCTTTTTTATTATATAGTTAACATCGTAAATAATGATCATGTACATATTGATTTCAAACCATTATATCAATGTTTGCATATTTACGAAGAACTAGGAAAACGAAATGAATTTAAATCAAATTATGAGGAAGATAGAAGGGTAATTAATTTCATGTGAATTAACTTCATGTGAATTTAATACACATATAATAATGATTATAATAATTTTTTTTTTTTCTTTCAAGTCCCAAGCAAATTTGGTTCTATCACAATCATTCACATTGAGGGAAGGTAATGAGAAGGGTTTCGAAGCTTTCCTCCAAGACATTGTAGGGTTTTTTGTTGTAGAATATGTGATTGTACACTCTACACAAAATTTTCGATCTCAAACAGAGGTTGATAACTTATGGGATTCAGTAATTGCTAAAGTCGTTAAAATTATTACTGAAAGTCTTGATGAATGTCATGATCCAAATTTATTTTTACAGATTAAATTTTCTTTATTTACCTTCATTCAAACTTTGGAGGTAATTAAATTTACATACTTTTTTTCTATCAAAGTTTTGTCATAGATAATATATATATGTATTTTTTTCTTAGGATTACGGATATAATGTTCACGCATTTACAGATTTGATATTAACTGTTTTTCAAAGATACTCTGATATGTTGAAACAAAGATTTTTGGAAGATTTTCTTCAGGTAAAATAAGTTGATTTTTTATTTCTTTGATATTATGTTGATTTTTAAAGAAAGTTATATATTGTAGACACTCCTGTATGATGATTACATGCCAATGCCTATTAGTAGTCCAGCAGAGTATGAGGCAGTTGTTGATGCTTGTTGGTTTAAAGAGGATCATCGTATTAGTCAAGGGTATGTTAGGAATCAATTATAAATATTTCTATACGCAGCCTGGCCAATTTCAGTTTTTGATTGGGTGGTACTGAAATTCTTGGAGCCGAATTAGTCCATATGTAAAAAATTGTTGATACTTGATTTTTCAGAATCAGAAATATATTTAAGGAAAAATTTTACTTTTCGTATGAATATTCTATAGATATCCAAGAACACTTCCTTTTTCGCAAGCATATCCTTCATGTTGCTTGGACATTAAAAAATTTGTGGATCAATACTATACATTTGCAGAAGGTGATTCACGACAATTTAGTACAGTAGACGATATTGCAAAACAGGTTGGTTTAATATTATAGTTAGGAAATTTTTTGAATTATCCGCTTATAATAAATATATTTCGCTTTTAAAAGACGTTAGATAATTTGTTAATAGAACATGTTAATGGTGTTCTAACGAGTAAATTAGAAAGTCAAAATATGTCACAGATTGTACAAATTATCATTAATCTCGAATATTTTCATGATGCCTGTGGGGAATTAGAAAAATTACTAAAATCAAAAAGGTATATTATTCACCTTATTCCACTTCTGTAAAAAAAAAATTGCAAACTACCATGACAAATATTATTTTTTTTAGATCATCTCATCGTGGAGGCCAAATCAAGTTAAAAGCTGCTGAAGAATTTCGTGAGACTAGTAAAAAAGCGGAGAAGCGTATTTTTGAACTAGTCAATTCAAAAATTGATGATTTCTTAGAATTAGCAGATTATGATTGGTAAGTCTTTTATTTCACATCTTGAAATCTTGAATCTATCATATACTTTAATTGTGTAATTATTTAGGGTGCCGAATTCTGTTCAGGCTCATCCAAGTTTTTTCCTTCACGGTTTGTTATTTTATTATTAATAGTGTTATTTGAAATCATTTAATGAAATTTTTACTTTAAAACACAGATATGGCTAACTACCTTACGGCTGTCATTAGTTCAACTTTGTACAATCTTCCGATGTCAATCAAGATTTTCATTTACTTTAATGCTTTAAGTCATTTGGCTTCTTCTTTATGTGTATGCTTTATTTAACTATTACTTAAAGTTTATCGAAAAGATTTATTTTAAAGTTGTACTCTATACCTTTTATAGAATTTAATTCTAAGTCCTAGCGTTAAAAAGATTAATGCGAATGGTGTTGCAAATCTTGAAGTTGATGTTACGTTCCTTGAACATTTTGCACGTAAACTTGAAGACCCAAATATCGCGGATGCATTTTTAGAATTGAGACAGGTATTTGTAATCATAAATTATGATATAATTACATTAATAAGCAATTAACAAGTCACTAATTGTATATTATGTTACCGCTTTTTTAGATTGTAACTCTTCTACAATCCGATAATGTTGAAGAATACTTGGATCCTTCTACAAGAAATAGAAAATATTCATTACTTAAGCCTACAGATGTTATTAATTTGTTTGATAAGTAAGTTCGTCCAAAAAATTATATTACAAAAAAATTATATATTAATAAGCATCATGTTAAAGAAACACATTGTTTTAATAGATGGCAGGATCAACCGTTATTGGCAATGCAACCTGAAGAGAGAGTTAAAAAACGAGCAATGGAAAGTGTTGTACGATCTTTGAGAAGTTCGACGTGATGAATATACAAGATTTTTAGATTTTTAGATATTATTTATTGTTCTTTTGGCGCAGCCTTAAATGTTCTTTAGACTATATTAAATCATCTAATATGTTTGACAAAACAAAAAATTACAAATAATAGATGCAAGTTTGCTAGGCGATCCATTAAAAATTAATTCCCTTTATAGTCTTTTTTAGTGGTTTCCCGGTCTTCATAGTAGTTTGTAATCGATCACTTAAAAGATTCATTTTAAAATTTTCGGGCGTTCGAGTGAAAGCGTATTTTTTTTTTACGTTTGATAAAAACCTAGTCTTTTTTAACTAGAATCAGAAACAACCTTAAACAAACTCTAAACATCCTATAATCCTAAAGCAACTTTTTTAGACTTCTTTTACCGTCGTGCTCGTTTATTCCGTCAATAAGAATGAACGGATCAACTGTAATTTTGGTCTTTTAGATTTTGGTTTGAAGGAAGATAGTAAATCTAAATCTATCATGTTCCAACTTTGTTTTCTATTTTTTACTGTAATACTTGTACGATAAGCTGCGACTAAAATTTTATTAGATTGACTGTGTATCCATCCAATAGGAAAGAGGATCGACAAACTTATCAATTGATTTGCTCTCGAATTAGGTTCGTATCTGACAACGATGATAAGTGCATTCTTTATTTATAATCAGAAAGGAGAAGTGCTCATCTCGCGTTTGTACCGTCAAGATTTGAAGTGAGTATGAAGTTTCTGTTTTAGATTAACATTAATAGAAACTCATAAAACGCGAACATTCTATCTAGGCGTTCTGTGGCGGACATTTTTAGAATTCAAGTAATTTCCAATACAGATGTTCGCTCACCAATCATTACACTTGGGTCTACATCATTTTTTCATGTTCGTCATGATAACCTTTACATTGTGGCCGTTACAAAATGTAATGCTAACGCTGCCTTAGTGTTTGAGTTTTGTTATCGGCTGGTTAATATTGGAAAGGCTTATTTTGGAAAATTTGACGAGGAAGCCGTTAAGAATAATTTTGTATTAATATATGAGCTGTTAGATGGTAAATACTCGCGCAAATTTGGAATAGGAATAATGTCATAAAATTGATAATGCTTTAACTTTTATTAGAGGTCCTCGATTTTGGGTATCCTCAAAATAGCGAAACAGAAACGCTCAAAATGTATATAACCACCGAAGGCGTCAAATCTCAACGCGCTGTGGTATGTTATCTCCAATATTGTAGATAAATTTAGGTAAAATATTGATTATTTTCAATAATAGAAAGAGGATTCTTCAAAGATCACCATCCAAGCAACTGGGGCTACTTCGTGGCGCAGATCAGATATTAAATACAGAAAGAATGAAGCCTTTATAGATGTAATTGAATCCGTAAATTTGTTAATGAGTACTAAAGGTTAGTATCTTTAATGTTCTGTTTTTTAACATTTAGTGCTTTATAAGGTAATAAATACTTGTCTTTGATAAAATAGGTACAACATTAAGAGCGGACGTGTCTGGGCAAATTATGATGAGAGCATACCTTTCTGGTACTCCAGAATGTAAATTTGGACTTAATGATAAGTTGTTATTAGAAAAAGACACATCGCATAGAGGATTGTATGTGAATTTTTTTGTATCTTAAAATAGATTCATTTAGAGACTTACTTAAAATTAAATTATTCAACAGATCTCAGAGAAGAACTAATGCTGTTGAGATTGATGACTGCCAATTTCATCAATGTGTTAAGTTAGGAAAATTCGATTCCGATCGAACTATAAGTTTTGTTCCTCCAGATGGTGAATTTGAATTAATGAGGTTTGAACCGAATAACCGTTTTTCTTATCTTCAAAATTCCTCGAATGCTATTTTAATCATTTTATTTATAAAGATATCGTACTACAGAAAATGTCAATCTTCCATTTCGTGTTCACCCGGTGGTTAATGAAATTGGTAAATCTCGAGTTGAATATCGTGTTACTGTAAAAGCCAATTTTTCTCCGAAGTTAATTGCTAATAATGTGGTGATAAGGATACCCACGCCACTTAACACTGCCAGTATTAATATACGCGTTACTGCTGGTAGAGCGAGATATGTCCCAGCTGAGAATTCTATTGTGTGGAAGTAATGTATCTAAATAATTATGAATACGATAATTCAAGTCTATTTATTTATTTACATTATAAAAAAAAAAAATTTTTTTTTATGTAGGTTACCGCGATTTCAAGGACAATCCGAGGCAACATTGTCTGGCGAAGCTGAACTTTCTTCTATGACTGTTAAGAAAGCATGGTCGCGACCACCGATATCAATGGATTTCCAAGTTTTAATGTTCACTTCTTCCGGATTATTGGTAAGATTTTTGAAAGTATTCGAAAAAAGTAATTACACAAGTGTCAAATGGGTAAGGTATATGACTAAAGCAGGAAGTTATCAAATTAGGGTAAGAAAATTTTTTATTATTAAATTTTCTTATTAATTTTCTTATTTATTTTCTAATAATATTTATTTTTGTTTTTTAGTTTTAATGTTTATCATTAAATTATGATATAGTAAAATAATATTATCAGTTATAGAGATTGCAATACGCAATCTAAAAATTAATTTATAATGTACAATATAAGTAATATCAATTCAAGTTTAATAGTTAGTACAACTTTAAAGTATAATAGATTATTTTAATTCTAATTGAATTAATGAGTCCGCTGGGGGAGCATATTTTATATATAATATATATCAGTCAAATTGATTCTAATATTTTTATTTAATTATTTAAATTGTCAGTAAAATTAAATAAATGTTGTAATAAAAAAAATATTGAATTCTATTTTGTTCTTTCTTTTTTTCTTTAAATCTTTTCAAATAATTCCATAGCGAATTCAAAGGCAACAAAACTTGAAGCATTAACAGGGCCAGCACGTAGCATACATGTTCCAAATCCCTTAAAAAAACCTTTAATTCCTTCCCTGGCTAAAATCTGTTTTGCACAGTCAAGTGAACTTGAATACTTTCGCTTTTCTTTTGAAAAGCAATCAGTTTGAATTTTACTCTTAATAACATCTATCGGATAAATAGAACTCCACATTCCATATCCTTAAAAAAAGATTAAAGTTTACATTTGAAAACAGAAATAAAAATTTTTTAATGCGTATAAGACAAACCTGATGCAGCTCCATATAAGCATTTTTTCCAACCGGGTAATTCATTCCTTAATTTCTTTTCTTTTAGCATAGCGCGTTGCATAAGAAATTCGTATATTAGAAAATAACAAGCACCTCCATGAAATTCACGTGCCATTGTTATTAACTGTCCCTTATAAATTCCTTTAATACCGTGGCAGGAATAAATTTTCTTGATACAATCAATTGGTCCATTATACTTTTTAATCTGAGTTTGAATTTGGAGACCTAATTTAACAAACAATCACTAAATATATAAAATTATCAAGATACATAATCTATAATTAAATTTAAATTTAAACAGAGCAAATCCCCGATTTAGCTCTATAATATCGTTTCAAGACTTACGTGTACGAATATGTTCAACTGGACCTATAAAACAGAATTCAAAGAAATTACAATTTTGCAAATAAATCGATAAGCATTTCAAATATAACTTACAAAAAACAAAAGAAGCTGCCATTCCAGCCGCTGCTCCAATTTGATACAGTTGTGGTAATGTCAACTGCCCCGGGCGTTTATTTTTTTCATTAAAGAATCTTTTCATAAATTCGAAAACTAGAAATTGAATAGAGACACAGGCACCAACTCCTACTAATGGGGTAGTTGTTCCCTATATATTCTCTAAAAATAAGCGGACGACGAAAAATATATACCCGTAATAGAATTCCTGTATGCGAATATTTTAACAAAACAAATCAAAAAATTAGATAATTACAAACCTTATAAAATGCGGTCAATCCTTCTTTTCGGGTTTTCCTTACACAATCCAGCATGCTAGTATATTTTGGTGGTTCGCCTTGTGTTTGAAGTCTCTATAAATAATATATAATAATTATTTTTATTTCTTGTATTCTTGCTGAATAAACATATTCACACTAATTCTCACCACTTTAACTGTATCAAATGGCTAGACAATAAATAATAAGAACAGCTCACTTGTTAAATAACGAATAAACTACTGGTTGAATTAAAAGTATATTTAAGTTACCTGACCGACAAACACTTGTACGATTCCGCCAACCGTTCCGCTAAAACAATCTTTAGCGGCTCTCTTAAACCCTCCTTGGTTTGTTCGGTCTGTTTCTGACATTTTTTAGTTGTTTGAGTAAAATCAGATGTTCGAGTAAAATCAATAAAATCGGATAAACGCGTTTTTATATCGATCTAATAATACACGTGCCATCAAACCGTATTTCCTAATTTGGAATTCCTAAAATCATCTCCGCGGAACGGGATAAATCGGATTTAAAATCAAATCTAATCTTAATATTAATATTAGTAACCTCGAATGTTCAAATCATTCTATGATGCGAAAAACATATAAACCAGCTTTTTTTCTTGCTTGCCGCCTAGGCTCGACAATTTACCAACAAACTTATTTGAAAATTTCAAAGTTAAATATGTCCGTCTCCAATCATGTACAAAGTGCTTCACCAGGTTAGTTTTATAGTTTTTTTTTCAGTATCTTAAAATTGACTTTCTCGCTCTACCTTATTCGGAGATATCATAGGCTTATCTTAATTATAAATTATCATGTTCTGAACCGTTACGCCATCTTGTAATTAATTAATGGATTAAATTCCCTAGCGAAAATTCTTACTTATGAAAGTATTAACCCTCATGTAAAGAGGGTAGAGTACGCTGTTCGTGGTGAATTGGCAATTCGTGCTGAACAAATCAAAGATGAATTATCTAAAGAAAATTCACATAACTACGACTTCGACGCTGTTGTTAATTGTAATATCGGCAATCCACAACAATTAAAGCAAAAACCCATAACTTTCTTCCGTCAGGTATGTTTTTTTCTTTTTTAAATTTAGAGTGTTATATTTATTCCTTTTTTTTTGAATAGGTCGCTTCTTTAACAGAATATCCTGATCTTTTATTACCTGAAAATCGTGAACAAGTTGAAGCATTGTATCCTACAGATGCAATTGAACGCGCACAAAAATTACTTAAGGAAATCGGAAGTGTCGGTGCATATTCTCATTCTCAAGGAATTCATTATATAAGGAATAATGTCGCAAAATTCATCGAAGGTTGATAATATCAATTTAATTTGAAGATTTTTTTCGAAATTCTTATATTTTTTTTTTACTTAGAACGTGATGGGTACCCCGCAAATCCAAATGATATCTTTCTTACTCAGGGCGCTTCTGCAGGTGTTCAAGCCGTGCTTCAACTTATTATCACACATTCTAATGTTGGTATTATGATACCAATACCACAATATCCTCTTTATACTGCTACTTTGGCACTATATGACGCGCAGCCTGTACCATACTATTTAAATGAAGAAGAAGATTGGGGATTAGATCTGAGTCAATTGGCCTCTTCACTCTCCGTGGGACGTTCTAAAGGGTTAGATGTTCGTGCGCTTGTTATTATTAATCCTGGTAATCCTACTGGTCAATGTTTGACTGAACATAATATGCGTGAAATTGTAGATTTCTGCCATAATGAACATATTGTTTTATTGGCAGACGAGGTTTATCAAACAAATATTTATCAACCTGATGAACGCCCATTCCATTCTTTTAAAAAAGTCATTCGATCAATGGGAAAAAAATATGAGCGATTTGAATTATTTTCTTTCCATTCAGTTTCCAAAGGCATGATAGGGGAATGTGGAAGGAGAGGGGGATATTATGAATGTACCAATATTGACTCTCGTATCATCGAAGAACTTTATAAAATGGCATCAGTTAGTCTTTGTCCAAATGTTCAAGGACAAATCATGGTAGATTTAATGGTTCAACCACCAAAACGTGGTGATAAAAGTTATACATCATACCAAAAAGAATTGAATGAAATTTATGAGAGTTTACGAAGGAGAAGCATGAAACTAAGTGAATGCTTCAATCAATTGGAGGGCGTTACATGTAATAATGCTCAGGTGAGATATTGGATATAAGTTTATTTTTATAAAATTAAACTAATTAACATTTTTTTTTTTAAAAAAAAAGGGATCAATGTATCTTTTCCCTCAACTTCGTTTGCCACAAAAGGCAATTGAAGCTGCTCATCAAGCAGGCAAAAAACCTGATGAATTTTATTGTTTAGCTATGCTTGATGCAACAGGTGTATGTGTTGTTCCCGGTAGTGGATTTGGTCAAAAAAATGGCACTTGGCACTTCAGAAGTACATTTTTACCACCTGAAGAGCTACTTGATGGATTTTGTATAAAATTGCAAAAATTTCATAATGAATTTTTAGAAAAGTATTGTGATTGATATATTGTATTTTATACATTTAAATCTATTTATTCCAGAATTTAAAAATATCAAAATGTTATGTACTGTATATTATTTAAATTATAATTTTAATAATTTTAAATATATAATTTATAAATTTCCAATAAGTAGCATCATAAAATTTTTAATTGATCTATGCATGCTAGTTCAAATTTTTTTTCATATAAACTTTACGCAACTCCTTATGTAAGTTATATCAGTATTATTTGGGATTAATAAATTAATAAAAAAGTTAAAAAATTAAGGCTATGCAATTATCTCAATATGATTTGATAGTCTGATTATTTTTTTATAGCTCTTATTAAATTGATGCTAAAAAATTTGCAAAGCACAATTTTTGAGTTTTAGTAAAAAAGGAGAATTTTAGCTAAAAGTTCATTAATTATTTTTTTTAAAAAGTTTATATACAAAAAAAATACATAATGATTAATTCTAATATAATTAATCTGCAAACCACTCATTATACTAAAAAGTATCTTATATATGCACTATTAGATGGAAACTTAAATTCAGAAGGTAGGAAATGCTTAACTAGCACTAGTCAAAATAAGGCAAATCGGAAATAAGGCAAATCGTCCTTATTTTGGCTAAATTTTGGCTAATAATTGACGATCGTCTGTATATCAGGTGACATTCGGCATAGCCGATTTCTGATTTCACTAGTCGAAAAAGGCTGGCCTATATTCAATTAAAAATTCGACCATGATCTACGATTAGACATTGGTCGAATAGTCTAATTAAACGTCACACGTTACGCATATCAAAGTTTAAAAAAGGGTAAAAAACAGGAAAGTGAAGTTTTGTTAATTTAAGAAACGAACTAACGTTTCTTTTCATTATTTTTTTTGTAGGACGTATAGGAGGACGCCGGCTTTAACACGAAACTGGACTTTAAGGTAAAAAATGGGGAAAGGGGGAAGAGAAAGGGGATTTAGAACCAAGATTCTTAAGAATCTTGGTTTTTACTTTTTTTAATATTTCGGAACGGTTACTAACTGTTCCTTCTTTTTTATAGGTTTCGGGCAGGCTTCCTGGTTCCGAAGAATGGAAAAGAATCAAGATTTGTAAGTAAACGAATCTTGGTTTAATTTTTTTTTGTTTTTTTTTTGTAATATTAACGAATGGTTACTAATAACCGTTTTTTTCTTTATTATTTTAGGATCGGGTTGGCTTCTGAGTTCCGAAGAATGGAAAGAACCAAGTTTCGTAAGTACGAGTACGAAACTTGGTTTATTTTTTATTTTATTTTTTTTCCTATTATATGAACAGTTACTAATAACCGTTCTTTCTTTTTTTAGGTTCACGAGTTCCAAAGAACGGAAAAGAACCAAGATTCGTAAGTATATACAAATCTTGGTTTTAATTTTTTTGTTTTGTTTAATTTTATTAATGAACAGTTACTAATAACCGTTCTTTTCTTTTTTTAGGTTCAGGTGGGCTTCCGATCTTTGGAAAAAGTGGAACTAAGATTCGTAAGTAAGTACGAATCTTGGTTTAATTTTTATTTTTATTATTATTATTATGAACGGTTACTAATAACCGTTCTTTTCTTTTTTTTAGGATCGGGTGGATTTTCGAATTCTGAAGTACGGAAAATCAAGATTCGTAAGTAACTACTAATTACGAATCTTGATTTTTTTTTCTTTTTTTTTTAATATTATTAATGAACGGTTACTAATAACCA